ACACACACACACACAATTGCACACGACAGACACATATACTTTGTTTACCCTCCGTCTATAGTAATAATACATGCCTCTGTTCCAAGACGATGCTTTGCTGCCCTGCTATAGTTTATCGGCATTTTCACTTCCAACTCCCCCTATTGACGATTCCTTCGCCATGACAACAAGAAAAAGATAAAAAAAAAAGTAACGTAGCAGATACATGAATAACTCCCATCGTCTTCCCGTGAGCCTGTGCGGCTCTAAAGTCTTGCGTTTGATATTACAAGCGTTGCCAGTTGACGCTGTCGACCTCCCTCACTCCATCATACCATCAGCAATCGCTAACCTTTGCTTCGCCGTCTTGGCTCGCTTTGTCCCCTTTCTACCCTTCTTGCCTTTGCTGTCGCTGTCGCCAGGTGTGGCTGCGGTAGCTGGTGTTGCTGTACCAGATAGGCCTTTGGATCCATCGTCAAAGTTACCCTCGCCTGAAATGTGTTAGCTCGGAATTCAAGGCCTTACTTAGACTGTTTTGCTCACCTTCATGATACATCTCATCCAAACTAGCCGTGTTCTCGGCCTTGCGTCGCTTGCCACCCTNNNNGCGCCACCACCCTGGATGACGACACGTTGAACCTCTTCCTTCTGCATTGCTCTCTTACGAATGCGCTCTTCGATTGTGCCGCGCGTGATGAGACGATAGACTGTGACCTGCTTGGTCTGACCCAGACGATGCGCTCGATCCATGGCTTGCGAATCGATTGTGGGGTTCCAATCGGAGTCGTAGAAGATCACAGTATCGGCTGAGGTAAGGTTGATACCAAGACCACCAGCGCGAGTAGACAGAAGGAAAATGAAGATCTCGGGACGGGTCTGGAAGTCGTGCACGGTGTCTCGTCGATCTTCCAGCTTAGTAGAACCATCCAGTCGGCAGTACTTGTAGTTGCGGTAAGTCAAGTACTCTTCCATCATGTCGATCATGCGAGTCATCTGGAAGTAGAGAAGTACACGATGGCCCTCGCTCTTGAGTTTGAACAGCAGTTCATCAAGCTTAGCCAGCTTGCCACTGTCAGTAACAAAGCGCCGCATAGAAGGAACAGAGATGTTGGTGAAGCCCTTCTTCTCATGATCAGGCTTAGGCAGCATCTCACGAGTAGGCCATAACTCCATGGGAAGCTTCTTCTCCACGAGAGCCTTCTCCTCAAAGAAGGTAGGGCCATAGAGGATCTTGCGAATTGGTGCGTTAAACAAGGCTTCGCTACGTTCGGCCTCAGAGCCCCAACTGCGGCAAGACACCTGGATTGGAGGTGCTGAAGCGCGAGGTCTACCAGCAGGTTCCAGGCGGCCGAGACCAGACTCATTATAGTCTGCTTGAGCGACGTTCATCAACTGGGTCAAGACACCTTCACTAGTAATGTCCGCCAGGGGCTTTCGGTTCTGTCGCGCCTGGATCTGGAAAAGGGCATGAGCGGGAGTGTAGTTCTGATCCTCAGTATCAGTGTAGGCAACATTCATGTATCCAAGTCTGTCGCGTTTCTGGAGCTCCTTGGCAGCTCGGACAATCAAGCTTTGGTGCGTAGCCTCATAAGCCTCGTAGGGAGAGGTGTCAGCAAACCTAAGCCATGAGAATGCCTTTGATCCATCACAGCTCTCGCGGATGTTGTCTGGGCTCCAGACATTCATCATGTGGTTCAGTGCCCGGTTCTTCCAGCCTGCAACCTGACTATCCGGGCCTGCCTTATTGATTCGGCCTCCATTTCTCCAGATAAGGCGAGGAAGCTCGTATTCGATCAAGTTGCGACTAGAATAACCCACGGCAACTTCGCTACCCTCGCGGACAAACGACGCGGTCTCAGCAAAGTAGGCGCAAGCAAATGGCGAGTTGACCTCAGCGCGCTCGAAGAGATCAGGATGGTTACAGACCTTTCGGAACTGCATGACCAAGTTCATCAGTGTACCTGAATCCTGGTCGTCGCCCATGGTAGCCTTTTCGACGAGGTCCATAATGTTAATCTGGTTTCGAAGATTACTGTAATACGCGCGTTGTCTGTAAGTGAGATCACAGAAGATATCCATCTCAATCTTGTCACCAAGCTCCTTCTGCACATGCTTCTTGACACGACGAAGCATGAAAGGCTTGAGAATCATGTGCAGACGCTTGAGCTGGTCCTCATTGAGCTTGGTATTACTTTGTGCATGAGACTCAATATCCTTGGAGAACCATTCGCTGAACTCGTCGTGTGAGTCGAAGAGCGATGGCATGATGAAATGCAGAAGTGCCCAAAGTTCTTGCATGTTGTTCTGGATGGGTGTACCAGTGAGAAGCAAGCGGTTTCGGCAGTGGAAGTTGAGCAATGCCTTCCATCGAGAACTTTGAGAGCTCTTGATGGCTTGAGCTTCATCAAGAATCATGTATTGCCATCTCATCTTCTGGAAGTAGGCCACATCAGAGACAACCAGCTGATACGAAGTAACACAGACGTGGAAAGGAGCGTCCTTTCGGTATGTCGTATGCTTACGATCCCAGAACTTTCGGAGAACCTTTCGATCATTGGCGCCGCCCCAGTAGGGTAGAATCTTGAACTCGGGGACGAACTTGGCGATTTCCTGCTGCCAGTTGTGGAGAGTAGAAGCAGGAGCAACAACAAGGAAGGGTCCCCAGATATCGTGCTTCTCAGCAAGGTAAGCCATGACGGAGATGGACTGGACAGTCTTTCCGAGACCCATTTCG